CTTCCATAACCACGATATCTTTGGTATATTTCCAATCAAGTTGAAAAGTTTCTCTGCCCCTCTTTGATCGTTCTCGCTTCTTTGCCTTCTGTGTGATATCGTTCAGAGCTGTATTATATTCTGACACCAATTTAACTGCTTCTAAGAAATTTCCACGATTTTTAAAATGGTATTCATCAAACTGCTGCTTCTAAGTATTTACTTCAATAAAGCAAAGTTTGAAATCCAATGAAGATATTAATATCAATAATACAACTCATGACTGCTCGTCCTTGAAGCACTTGGCTCTGTCGGACTAAGAGCTGATCATGCTACAATCTGTGCTCAACTGTTCTTTCTTGGAAGTGCATGAAATATGCTTGTGTTGAGTCCTGATGACATAGCGATTTTTCGTACTCAGATAATCTTGTGGCGATGTGTCTCTAGTCTGATCACTCTATTATCAATTGATTACCACGATTTCTTTCGGATGCAAACATCAAACAAAATGAGCAATGCAAACTCATTTTCTCGCTGTTATAGGTCACACAGGAGCGCTTGACATCATTACCATGAATATATTTGCGACTGTAAACCACTCTGCTATTGTAAGATATATCTCTAGTTGGTTGATGTGGATGAAAGTTCCAGAAATTTTTAGGCTTTTAAAAAAATTACTTGTTGAATGAGAAGACGCATTCAGTTCTGTGACAGGAAACTTTTACAGGTGATTCTTGTGTGACCTGTGTTTGTATAATAGTATTTTCAGTTTCTTGTTCATTCAATGTACTATTACTACTACCAACACTTTCTTCTGGAGAATTTGAGGATTTAATCTTAAGAATTTTGCAGGAGAAGGTTGAGTGGTCTTTGGTTGATCTGATGGGTATGGTGACTGTGAAACAGTAATATCTGTTTCTTCTTCATTCTGTGTAGCAGATGTATTGGAAGTTTGTTTGTTTGTTTGTAATTATGCACAAAGCTACACAAGGGTTATCTGTACTCTGCCTACCACGGGTATCGAAACCCGGTTTCTAGCGTTGTAAGTCCGCAGACATACCGCTGTGCCACTGTGTAGCAGATGTATTGGAAGTACCGGCATCTAAATCAGTGTCATTTCCTTTCGATTATTTTTTAAAAAATGTTAATTTTAGTCAAAGTTCAAAATTAGATACATATACTTTTAGAACAGAGAACAATAATTCAATTTATATCTTAATTAAATATAAAAATCATTTTATAATCTAAATAAACGAAAATTGGGTAATCTTGAAGAATAGTGTTGGGTTGATGTAAGAACAAATTTAAACTAGTATTTTTGTAAACACTATGACTGTAAACGCATTATATAATGCTACAGTGTTTAAAGGGTTAATTGATGCGACAAACTGACATGCCAACCACATACTTTTTTAAAAGTAAAAGTCAAGTTCCGTTTTAAACTTTTTATTTGATATAATAAAAATATATTTTTAAAAAAATTGTTAAAAAATTGTTTTCTTAGACTAATTTACGGGCCCCTACCCCCACGGGCCCTCGGTCCACATTTTATCTGCTCGTATCGTCAATCCGCCCCTGTTAATAACCACTTATGAACATTGTAATATTCCTTTTGTGTAAATCCCAAAGTAACAATAAACCTTCTCGGAATCGGATAGTTGAAGTAGCATTAGCAATCTGGAACGTATTGGCAATACTTCGAGAAGTGATAAAACAAACAACAGCAATCCCAAACGTATGTAAAAATAACAATAATTCATTTATTAAAAGGTTGTTAAGCGCAACACTACATATTGGCTATCTGTGTTCTTCCCACCGCGAGTATCGAAACCCTATTTTTATCGTTATAAGCCCTCAGACTAACGCTGAGCCATCCGAAATACCGTTAACAGTGCCATGGAAAGTGTGGATTCAACATTGCCCATAACCCATCTAAAATATGACGAAAGTGCAACAACACACACACTTAAATGTATGCACACAATAATTCCAATAAAACTTTAAAACATTTAAAGCAATAATAGAAATAAGCCCTGGTAAGTTTGAAGACAACATCAGCGTTAATCCTTGGAAAATGTGAAAACAATATGGACAATAAAGCCTTAGAACTGTGAAGGTAATAGTAGCAATATCCCCTGTGAAGGTTATAGTAGCAATATCCCCTGTAAAGGTGATAGTAGCAGTAGCTCCTGTGAAGTGTACCGACAACATTAGTAATAACCCGAGAAAGTGTGATGGTAATAATGACAATAAAGCCTGTGAAGCAAAATTTACAATAAATCAGAAAAAGTGTAGTTGCTGCCAAAACACTGAGATCTGTTATGTTGTGTGTGTGTGAAGCCAAAACTAGTAACGCATTGAAACAGAATATGCAATCATAACAATCTATTTTATATTCCTTCAGGACGATGGGAATATAGTAAACCCTAACACTATTTTATATATATGTGTGTGAAACAACATACATGCTAGCATTAAACGTTATTATCTTCTAGATGAAAGTAACTGATGGTAAAACTGACAGAAAGTTTCCATACTGAAGATTGTGCCAACACGAGAGTAACAATAAACCTAATTAGAATTTTAACTGTACATAATCAAAACAGAAAATAAAACATATGATTTTACGTGTTATTTGTATGAGGTACTAAACACATATGCTCTTATTATAAAAGGACTAGATAAATCGTAAGAATATTCAAGTAAAAGAAACATTTTCTCATTTTGTCTATTATCATTACCTTGTTTAATATCCGTTAAAAGTCTTAAAACAGCGTTTTCTAAAAGTTTAACTTGGATTTAAATTTCGGCAAAACTTTAGAAAGTGTTCAATCTTTCGTTAATGAAAGTGCCTAGAAATTTAAAAAACGTTCTACTAAAAATCAATAAAACTTAATCTTCTAAAATCCTGACTGCGCAAAATAAACAGAATAACAAAAAGTTTCGGTGTTATTATAACATACAAGACAAGAGGTATTTTAAATCGATGACTTTTATTAAATTTAGCTAAGATCTTTAAACAGGGTATCATTTTTATATAAACTCCTATAAGCACTACTATAGAATTATAACTTTATAATTATAGTGAAGCCTGCAATCTTCACTCCTTACAGTAACGTTTACTGGTAATTTACAACATAAACCGTCAGATTACATATACAATTTGTAAAAAACTAAAACTCTTCTAGTCCGTTTTAAGTTAATTCTATTACAATAAAAAGACGGCGAGGTACACGTTGGATCTACTCCACTAAAATAATAATAAAAAAATGTAATAAAAGTGGAACGTGAAAAACAGTAGCTTTTACATTTTCTAAGCTCAAGCTATTGTACATTGTTAAAGCGTCGTATATTCAGGTACATTTAGTGAACCTTCAAGCTGTCCTGGATATTCCGCTTAAGAACTTGAGATTATCTCAAGATGATGATCGCGAAGTAATGCTAAATCTCTTACTAACTGAATCATGTTGTCAAATTAAATAATGATACTGGACACGAAATGAAAAGCGCAAAAAACAATCTTTCTTATCACCCTAAACATAAACACAGTGTATGTACTTGCTTTTCCTTACACAGGAGTCTCCAGTGGCACAGCAGTATGACTGCGGATTACAACGCTAGAATCAGGGTTTCGATACTCGTGGTGGGCAGAGCACAGATAGCCCATTGTGTAGTTTTGTGCTTAATTCCAAACAAACAAACAAAATAAGTACGACCACATTGAGGAACTTTCAGTGGATTTGTTTCGAAGTTTTATTGACATGTTGAGTTACCAGTATGTTCTAAAATCGTGTAAGAATATGTTGAAATTACTGAAACCACAATCAGATCCATGAATTAAATCAAGCTAAAAAGGATCTTTGTAGATGTTGATATTAATAATAATTACAATAACATTGCAAAGGATATGAACTTAAACCATTTTTTAAAAACACAATAAAGGAATTGGAAAGATTGATACCTGGTTTGATAATAACAATAAAGGAATTGGAAAGATTGATACCTGGTTTAATAATAACAATAAAGGAATTAGAAAGATTGATACCTGGTTTAATAATAACAATAAAGGAATTGGAAAGATTGATACCTGGTTTAATAATAACAATAAAAGAATTGGAAAGATTGATACCTGGTTTAATAACAACAATAAAGGAATTGGAAAGATTGATATCTGGTTTAATAATAACAATAAAGGAATTGGAAAGATTGATACCTGGTTTAATAACAACAATAAAGGAATTGGAAAGATTGATACCTGGTTTAATAATAACAATAAAGGAATTGGAAAGATTGATACCTGGTTTAATAATAAGAGACAAAAGTAATCACTGAGAAAAAAGTGGCTTTTAAGTAGTTGCTCAGTAAAAAAATTATTAGTTCTTAATGTATGAGAAAGTTTAAAACTACATAATTTGTAGTAGGGCTGATAAAAACTGATAATGTGCAGGTGGGCGATCCTAATAATTTATAAATACTCATAATATAGACTTAAACTTTTTTATCAAAATAGTAAGTAGTTTTATGGTTACGTTTTCATCACTTTAAAAATGGAAGAAATTACATAGAGAAAAGCTTTAAAAATCTTTGTTTGATCTAATTTCTCTGGGTTAGAGTAAATCCGATTGAAACCAATGTTTGTCAATAACTCTGGCCAGGTAAGTACTGATTGTGTTGCTTATATACTATGTATAGTGATAAATGTTATTGAACTGTTTTTCTTTATATATATTTTACTGATATATACCCTAGTGTTTAATACGAGCTCTAACGAAAACATTTCAAGGAAAATTTCATAAGATGTCTTAAAGATTCAATCACGTTCTGTTATGAGTTGTGAGGAATTAGCTGGCAATAATATTTTCTGTTCTTTAAATGTTTACAGTAAAAACATAATTAAAGCTCGTTCACAAGAGTAAATAGTTCCTAAGATCATTTGTCCCTCTTTGTTTTGTTTGTAACTCCACTTCTAAAAAAGATGTTCATCAAATATGTGCTCACTCTATGTTGTATTCTATTCTTAGGAGTTCATTTTAACACTACCAAAGCGAAACTTGAAGATGAGATCGAACGAGCTGTCTATGTCTTCGGTTACGGCTTGGAACTCTTTGTAAATGACCCTCGCAATGAAAACAAAAGTTTGTCACCAGGATTGAAATGCAATGGAACCTCTACTGACCACTGGAGTAAAGGGGATATGTTCTTTAGGTGAATACAATTTTTATTTTCTAAGAAAGATTTGATTTTGTGATGATAAATCACTTTGCAATGCATAAACAGTTTTATCGCTAGCATTATTATCAAGTAATGTGAAAACAAGCAAGTACACGGTCTATAATTATTAAAAAGTAATAGTTCATTCATAAAGTAAGTCTTATTACAAAGTTTTCACTGCACTCAAAGACTAATTTCGTGAAACGTGCAAAAAGTGACATATCCAACTTTTTACTTACTCGTGTGTAAAGTCAAAATCTAGTCCACTTAAAGAAAAGAAAGGTGTTTTATTTCTTCTACAAAAAAAAACTCTACAACTTTACCGGGTAATAGGCCTAAGTCACAAATGAAACTAAACAATCACTTACGTGTTCACTTTCTTCTTGTATCTACGGCACAAACTTAAAACTGGCTTATTTACACACTCTTTAACTCAGTTATCAATCGACAACACTATAATAAATACACTAGTTACCTGAATAACTAGCTAACTTGTCAATAACAACACTTAGTCTGTGATATTTCATATTACTACAATATTGTTCTCTAAATTTAAACAAAATTTGAGACATTACTTTCTTATCACGTCACAGCAAATCTAGATATTCACTAAATTTCCAAGCATCACACATCATCACTATGTCATGTCAAAGCCCATCTAGGAAAATATACAAAACTTCTAAACTAAAAGATGAAAACATAGTTCCCAACATTGCTCCTCCTTGGATTGTAAAGACTCCTGGATAATCCTATGCGCAAATAAAACAATACTATTCTAAACTGGAACTTACATAATGAATAATAAAATCACTCTTTGCAATTAACACAAATAACATCCATAAATAAACATTACAATGACTAAATAATTAATTGCGTTAAACAAAGTAAAACAAAAATTCTGAATAGCAAAACAAAATATTCTTTGCTAAACTGCTTATTCACCAAATCTTTTTGGTGATTTTATTTTCTGTAGTTTAAGGGACAAAGATGGGACGACCTCTTGTCCTTTATCGTCACTTGTTGTCTTCTCACTGGGAGAGTTATCTCCAGGTTGATGATCGAGGGAATCTACCAGTGGTCCCATCCTTGGTAGTACTGTGGAAGTAGTCTCGACAGGAATTTCAGACTCTCTAGCAGGTAGACTTGCTTCTGGAAACGGCTTCAATGAAGTTAAACAATTGCTTCCTTTCCAATCTACACTTTTCCAAAGACGATCACAAGGGATGAGCCCTTGATTTTAACCGACTATTGTTCTATATTCTGCTGTATTGCACTCCAGATCGACAGTCCTCATTATCATATGTGCCAATCTTTGTTGTTGCTTTAAGTCCAACCTCTAATGATGTAAGTTTCATATCGTGCATGAGAATTTCTTGGTCATAAACTGTGAAGTTAGACTAACCTTTCATGAAGTGACTACCAAATATACATTCTTTCTCGATGTAATACGCCCAGTCGTGCTGTGTAGAGAAGCCTTCCTCAGCCAGGGTGACTACCAACTTCCCTTTTTTTGAATCTTTATATCCACTTGTTGTTTGTATCAGTCCAAATTCTTTCTTCATCTCTGGAGAAAATTTCCAACATTTCACTACTAGATTTTGGTCGAGCAATAATAGTCATAATATCGGTGTCAACCAACGTACTGCATGGCTTCCCATCAATAAACCCATTGATTTACAGACTGTTTTTTTAATAACACGTTCATTATTCTATTAGAAATGATGGAGTAATCTCATCCTCAAATCATCGTCTCCTTGGATTGATATCAACAACTGTTTCACTACAGTCTCATATGTGTTTTCCACACTTATAGTAGATCCTTTCTCCTCTAACCCTTTGGGAGTAGTTTATAGCAATATATTTTTTATGTTATAGTTGAAACACCTTCTGTCCCTTCCTTTACTTCCTTATCTTGAGTAAACAGCTCAAGAGTCTAATCAAAGGTTTTTGTCTGCAGTTCCTGTCAATTTATCCTTTTAACTTGCAATTGCAACATCTTCTACCATGTACTTTATGTCTTCCATTCTGAGTCAACAGTTGTCTAATGATTTTTTTCCAGCTCTTCTAAACCTTCGTCAGTGAAAGTTAATTCTTTTATACCATTTGATCTGATAAGTTTATAATTTCTGGATAATGAATTTGATTGTTTTTGTGACTTCAGCTGATTTAAGATCCACTGCCAAATGGAAAACTTCATTTTTATAATGCACACATATTTTGCTTTAGCCAACTTCACATATCTTCATCTACTGTGGCATCTATAATTTGTTTATGTGCCATTGAATCCATCAGTTCATGAATAAGATAAGATAAGAACATTGGACAAGATTGGCTGCAAGTTTGGCTAAGATATTTTCTTTTCTCCTTCTTCTGCTCCTAAACCTTTTTTAAAAACTTCCTTCTGATGTGACTCTCCAAGTCTGTTTGATGATGTGGCCATCAATTCCTGATAGTTGTTACAGTTGTTTAATGTAGATAAAGATAAATTGCCTGTTATTCACTGTTCCATCTATGCACTTTAAAAAATAGTTTGAACACAGCCTGAAATGTCTACTTTGTTACCTTCCTATCATAGTCTGCTGGATTCTTAGTTGGACAATATTAATAAACTGGCCAGGTAAATTCCAGAAACATATTAAGTAGTTGTGTGATTGGAGTAGTTCAGAAATAACTTGCAGTCATAGGTGACAGAGCAGCACTGGTAGCAGGTGTAAATTAAATTAGTATTCATATTCCTTATTTCAAGGTTAGTGGTGTTTGAGGTTGAACTTCTTGAGCAAATACACACAATTTATTTTCCATATGTTTTATCCAAGCATCAATATTGTTTTCTACGTCCCTTTTTCCTTCAGTGATGTTCTTTTGTAATTCCTTAAATTTGTTATTATAATCTCTTTTTCTATCTCTCTATATCTACTATGATTTTTATCAACTTCAGTTTGTACATTATACATTTCTTAACTTGCCCTCCATCAAACTTATCTAGGTCTGCAGTTCTTCTATATGTCTTATTTCTCATTCTTGCATTTCTTCTCTTAAATTCTCGTCTCTTTCCTTAAGTATCTTTATTCTTGATCTTCTCTTAGTTTCTGAAACTTTCCTCGTGGTCTTCCTTTAATTTTTTACCTATCTCTCTCTCTTCTAATTTTCTATCCCTTTCTTCTTGCTCAACTTTCTATTGTTTCCAGAAATTTTTCAATCTCACTTCGAGCCACATATCATCGTCTTTAACTTTTTTCTTTATTCTCTCCTATTTTTACCAAAATAATCCCACTTTTGACACCATTTCTAACGCATTTTATTGTTTGGTGGGTTATATTTCTATTATTTGGTAGAAAGCCTAGTCCACTTAACAAAAAAGAAAGTGTTCTATTTCTCCTACCATAAGATCTACAATCTCACCCAGTGATAGTTCTAACTCACATATAAAATAAAATAGTCACTAACTTCTTCACTTTCTTCTCATATATTTGGCACAAACTCAAAACTGCCTGACTTACTCGCTGATTAGCAACTGATCGACAACACTGCAACAGACTCACTAACTAATCAACAACAACTCTCTGTGTAATTATATTAAGGCATTATTTTCCTCCAAGTCTAAGAAAATTATAAAATAATGTGAAATCACGTAAAGTTTAGACACTCGGAAATTTTTTAAGCGTCACACATCATCACTATGTCATGTTAAAATTTCTAGTAAACAATATAAAACGTCTTAATTAAACTATGAAAACATAGTTCACAATAATAGTTTCTCTCATGTCTTTAAATTCATAGTATCTAATACTTAAAAAAGAAATCTTGGTGTCAATATTATCAATAATTTAATATACTTAATAGTATTTCAAGCTTCTAATCAGTCGTTGTTTTAGATATTTTCTGGGGGTCTTGAAGATTGTAGCTTTTTTATTTATTCGTGATTTGTAATTATTGACATTTTAAGTTCCATCCTTTTCCTTTTTCCTTTTACTTATTCAATAAAATCGGTTTAACAATCTCAATATGAAAAACAAAAGATCTTTATTTTCTGCACTTACAAAGTTTCATTATTAATAGCATCTTCAGTAATACATGTAGAAATCTTGCCATTAAAGTAATCCTAAAACAGCTAAAAAAATAAATAATTATATTTCTAAGAAAGAAACGTTTTTGATGTTTAACAAAATGTCTGAAGTGGCATAAGCCGTTTTCACTGTGAATTAAAGTTTTAGTTTAATTTTTATTTTGGAAAAATCTGGATTATAAGGTATTTGAAAATATATTTTTTCTATTTTAAAATTATAATAATAGTAAAGTATAATAAGTTTAAAAAACAACTTAGTATTAGACTATGTCATAATCTCTTAACTTTCTGGTTTTCACTTTAATTATTATTGCTTCATTATGCTGTTTTTCCACTTATTCTTATTGTTATACTTATTCTGAGTTTGCAGGGTGTATGAAGTATGATGAATGCTTTAGATGCCATCTCTGTAAAAAGCTAATCATTTCGTAACAATGATAAAATAGCTTCAGTTTGTTTTTGCAACAAAGAAAGTACAAAATATGCTTGCTAAGAGTTCGAAACAATTGAGATACATACTTAGAAGCATCGTCAAGGTCACACTAATGACCCCTAATAAAAACTTTACTTTTTGGAATCTTAAGTAAAAACTTACGCCAACCCAAATCTATCTAATTAAAGTTTATAATTTTAGCATGTCTAATGTTTTTCTTGTCTGTGTTGTGATTCAGAGAAAAGCAGTATACTAAAGCAACAGTTATGTCATTTTTTTGTGTGATTGATATTTCAGTTGACTCAGTATTATTAACTTCGATCTCCTGCTACTAAAAGTGGCCGGTTTAGTACTTGAGATATAATTGAAGTTGGTATTTATTTTATTTTGATCATTTCACTGCACGATAAATTTTGCATCTAGTTTCTTGGCTCCTACAATGTCAGTTGTCAGCTATCAACAGTGAATGACCGAGAAGTCTTAAAAAAAATCTAT